ACATTTATCCTTGATGATTGACTTTAAGATGGATGCAAATTGTATATTGTCGTTTTTATAACGTGGTTTATTTATTACAACTTAAAATATATCTGATTCAGAATTTATTAGTCATTATTTCACCATTTCATTTCGCTTTTCGTTGTTTATATTATATGATAATTATAATAGATCTTAATTTTCTAAATATTATTTCTAAATCACGATACTTAAGATTAGCACATTTAAAAAAAAAAAAATGTTTAGATATGACCACTAAAAAGATATCATGGACCACTGGCAAATTAATGAACCGTTCTGGTTAACTCCAGAGCTATGTGTTCGTGCAGCCTCCTATGACAATCGATAACTTATTGGTCTTCCTCGATTTAGATTTAAGTCAATTCTTCGATAGCCTGTCCCAAAACAGGAGTCGGAGAATTTCCTATTTTTAAAGATAACCTAGAGTTATTAGCCCCCAATAATTCATTTGAACGCTATACAACATAGTAACTAATGAATTTACACCAAAGTGTCGATGTCTTAACATAAAAGATGTCCATCAATAAAAGATGTCTTCTAAACCATGTTAAATTATGTGCTGATCTTAATAAGTTAAGTATAATTATTAAATAAATTATCATATTATGTAAATGACTTCATTCATACTAACTGTTTGTCCCATACTAACATTACCTCTCCCGGCGGTCGTGTAGTCGTACCTTCACGTTGGTGACTGCCGTTAAGAATAAATTTTTGTTTTTCAACAAATGTTTGTTTGAACCGAATTGACTACGTTCCTTTCATGGCATGCTTTTAATCATTTTTATACATGGCTCTATATTCGTTAACTTACTATCATTCCTTTGCTTAGATACTAACAGCAGTTTATTACTTATTACATTACCCATTACTTATTACATTTATGCATTACTTATTGCTTGACTGTCCTTGCTAACATTTTTATGTAGTATGTATAAAATATAGTATGCAGCTCGTTACTTTTCATGTGTTACTGTGGAGATTATAGAGTGAATGAATGTTGGTTTGGTCATAGTGTAAGAATGGTAAACGTTCCTATTCGTTTTATTTCCAGCGAAAGCCGCTGCTGTACGTTATATTCATTTGATACCTCATACGTAGTAATCAGGTTAATAGACCTTAAGATACGTTATAGTGCCATTTTGAAATTGATTTTGTTGCTTGTTTTTTCATCTCAATGTATTCGTTACCCCCTCCTATTTCATTTGACGCTTTATACGTTGCAATCGGACCAATAGACCCTGAGATACGTTATAGTGCCGTTTTGGCATTGATTTTGTTTCATGTTTTCATCTTGATGTATACATTATTCTCTCACCTTTCGTTTAACGCTTCATACGTTGCAATCGGACCAATAGACCCCGAGATACGTTATAGTGCCATTTTGGCGTTGATTTTGTTGCTTGTTTTTCATCTCAATGTATTCGTTACCCCCTCCCCTTTCATTTGACGCCTTATACGTTGCAATCGGACCAATAGACCTGAGATACGTTATAGTGCCATTTTGGTATTGATTTTGTTGCTTGTTGTTCATCTCAATGTATTTGTTACCCCCTCCTCTTTCATTTGACGCTTTATACGTTGCAATCGGACCAATAGACCCTGAGATACGTTATAGTGCCATTTTGACTATACCGCCATCTTTGTTTTTTCTCTCTACGTGTTACCCGTTTTCTTCCCGTTCGTTTGACACCTCATACGTTGCAATCGGACCAATAGATCCGGAGATACGTTATAGTGCCGTTTTGACTATGCCGCCATCTTTGTTTTTTCCCTCTACGTGTTCCCGTCCCCTTCCCGTTCGTTTGACACCTCATACGTCACGATCCAATATGCCGTCGCGCCTCCACCACAAAAAGAGCCAAAAATGACCAGAATGGACCTTAGATTTTCTTATGGAGATTTACATGGGAAAATGACCGATTTTGGGCTCGAACTGTCCTAGCTCTTTTACTTTTATTATAACTAATAAATTAACAATCAGAATAAAAATGTATTCTATAAGTGAATGTGATGAGTTTAGGTCATATTCCTTAATTCTTGCGAGATGTGATCCCCTCCAGTGAGAGAATCACATGTCCATGTTACCTACTGGTCTATTGGCAAAAACATCGCTTTAGTCTTCTGATAACTTGATGTTGAGGCATTGCGGAAATTAATGGATTGGAGTGTGTGTTCACCTTTTTTTTGTTACTCGTAGATTCTTTGGTTGAATACTTACCAGGGTGCATCAACATTATCTCTTAAGATTATTGATTGACGTCTTTTCATTATGGCAATATTGGATTTGCTACTACAGCCCCACAGCTCTATGCCATATATCGATATTGATTTAATAACTGTTTTATAAATTAGAATTTTATTATTTATTGAGAGCATAGAATTTTTTCCAATTAACCAATTAGTCTGGTTTTGTCTTAGTTGTATTTTTTTGCTGAAGTGTTCCTTCCAACACAGGGTTTGGTCCAGGCGTAGCCCAAGGTATTTGGTTGTTTTAGTCTTTAGTGAAAATTATGTGGGTTGACTTGCTTTCATTTATTTTGAATTGTTCCAGCCAGTTTTCAACCTCATATACGTAGTCTTGGAGTTGTTGTGTAGCTATGTTGATGTGTTTATCACTTGTGAGTGCTACTGTGTCATCTGCAAATGTGCCAATTTTTACATTATTTGAAGTTGGTAGATCAGACGTATATAATAAATATAATAGAGATCCCAGAACGTTGCCTTGCGGAATTTTTGCCTTAACAGAATGTATTTTGGATATTTTTCCATTTGAAGGGTCAGGGGGAAAACCGGTTTTAGTCCATTTAGCAAAATGTTGCAGAAGACGAGAAACAAAGTTTATCCTTTAAAAGTAAGGTTTACTTTCTGTTCTAAATACTTAATTTTAATTTTACATTATGTTATATGTGATATAAAACCTAAAAAAACTATGTGTTAATAATATTAAAAATGGATGCTCCATTTAAATTTTTTTGGCCTCCACTAGCACTCTGGTTGTTTGAGCAGTATTCTGGAACAAAATCCCAGTTTTAGTACGAGTTTTAGTGTATCTATTTACTAATGTAGGTAATTTTCTTCATCTCTATTGGTTTTTCAATGATCTCTTTGTCTACTTAGGTATTTGCATTTATCTTTCAGTATTCTCTTCGAAACTTTACTTAGAAGCTTACAAATACTCCATTTCCATTTCTCTGGCGGTACGAATATCAAAAATCATTTTGTTTGTATTCCACTGCTTATGCTTTTTGTATTGCATATTTAAAAAATATATATAAATTCTACAAGAACTGTGATTTTATATGTCTTCAAATTTCATGTGGGTATATGAAATTTTGAGTAACTTAACATCCAAAATAATTAAACTTAGTTATAATTTAAAAATGCTTTATACAAATTATTATATCAAATACAAGGAGATTTGTATTTATTTTGATAAAAATTAAAAAATTCGACAGTCTATAACCCCTACAACCCTACACTATCTATTATTTGTCTAAGCTATCACCACTTACTTAAAATAAAACTTGATTATATAATGTGGAAAAATCGCACACGTTTGTTAGATTTAGTGCTGCTATCTATGGAAGAGTGGCTGTGTTTCTACAAATTACAGATTGGTTTTACACGTAAATTTTTTAGGCGTTCTGTGTTTTGTTTTTTCAAAATGGCATATCACAATAAATTATTTAAAATTTCGATTTCTTTATGTTCTAATTGGAATTTGTGTACAATCGAGACTTTCACAATGGTGAAAACGTATTATTTATTTACAGCTTTATAGTAATAATTGTGTGTGTAATAGTTAGGTTTAACGGTAAGTTTTAAAATTAATAAAAATTCTGAGTACTCGTCCTATGACTACTGTCGAAAAAGAGCGCTGTTTCTCAATTTTAAAAATAGCGTTTTCTGAAGTGGAAATCGCAACATCAAACAAACTTATTTTAAAGCAAAATTGTGGTTTTTTGCCAGTAAAAATAGTCAATTGTATGAATATACTACAGAAGTATATTAAAAACGAGCTTCAGAAGTATATTAAAAACGAGATAAAAATATTAAAAACGAGATGAATTTGGCAAATTCCTGTCATGATTTGAGTTGGTAGTCTCATATCTCTCCATAACCACAATGTAATCCAAACACAAAACACAAGTCAATCCTTGTCAGAAGAGTAAAATATTCGAACGTATTACACGACTGTTCATATCACAGACCAGAGATAGGTGATTTGTGGTTCATATCCAATCTTAGCTATTCTATATAACTTCATGAGGAGTAAGTATTGTGCGTAATCGTACGTATGGACTGCAAAATATCTGCAAATAATCTAATATGTAAATAGAATTCGATAAAACCATATACAAGCATATTATACTGTATAGTATATTGTGTCAGTATACCAGTTGTTTACAGGACAGCGTGGCACAGCTGTAGTCACGGCGGTAGTTTGTTTGTATAAAGATATTTGATCTACTATTGACATTGGACACGGAACACTACTTGTATATAGTACAGAGTGGCCAACATCTTAAATCTAATTGAAGAAAAAATAATTATTTTCAATAAAAATCAGCATACATTACTGTTGATTTAGTTAGCTTAACTCTTACACTATTATTTAAATAAACTTTCATTAGAAAACCTTTAGTACTCGACGTCATATATATGGTGCAACATAATGATTAATTAATTTATTCGTATGACGTGGCCGTATGAGCGTATATAATAACGTTTACTTAGAAAGTGACAGTTAGGTTAGTGACGTTAATGACAGTGACTAACTAACTATAATAAAAAATATCAGTGCATAAACAGTACATAATATTACGGGTAATTTGGGTAGGCTGTTTACCTTTTGGAATCTGTTGTATGAAAATCTAAAAATAACTCTTCCAGATTTTTTTCGAATTGTGCAATCAAGTAAATAAAACTAGCCGCGTAACCTAAAAATTTTAATTTTATAAAAACTTCAGTGCACAATGAGCCAATTTGCCTCTCAGATGCCTAACAGACAATTCCTTTGGGATGTCTTTCAAAGGTTAGTTAATTAAAGCTTCTGTATTACCTATTTTACACATGATTTGTACTTTGCAGGGTTGATAGAGATAGGAGTGGATTCATTAACGCCGACGAACTTGGATCCGCCCTTTCTAACGGAACCTGGAGTCCCTTTAATCCAGAAACTGTCAGATTAATGATTGGTAAGTTAAAGAACTTTTTAAAGCTTTCTAGTAAGTTGTTGCTACCAGCAATGTGAGTATGTAAATTATTAGACACCAAACAAAAATGCTATTTAATAAAATGATTATATTAGTCAACTTTCACGATTTTGTTCCAAAAGTAGTGAATTTCTGGTGCTTAAATTTGTACCTAACAAGTTTTTAGCAGCTTTACTATCATTTACACTAAAAGTGCCATTAAAGATAGTTAATGATTTAGTTCTTAAAAGGTTATAAGTTTTAAGTAATGTTGTTGGTTGTTACTGAGTGGTGAATTTTATAACTTGTCTCTTTAATTATGGTTTAAAATTTTGAATCCAAATTAAACAATATATCACATGAAGTTGTTGCTGATAACAGCTGATAATGACAAATTTGATTATCTTCACATATAAATAGATGACTTCCTGTAAACATGTATTGCAACAATGTGACATTTATTGGTGATTGTTTGTTTAACAATGGCATTTAGCAGTTAGTGACATGTTGTACCATTGTAGATTAAAACAAATTAAAAAACTGAAAAATACCTGCAGTTTGCAAAAAAAAATGATTTCTTTATAATGAAGATTGAATACCTTCTGCCAAAATGTGTTCTTGAAAAGATTTTCAAATGTTTTGTTGAGTTTTGAAACCTGGGCTTTACATTTTTTAAAGGTTTTATGTAATTAATAATTTATTTAGAAAATTTTAGCCATTAATAACCACTCCTAATTGCACAAAAATTGTTAAAATTCACTCAATACATTCAAGTGTTGTCAACACGTTGCCTGCCATCTCAGTCTATGTGACTGAGAAAAAAATGTATCTACACGCCAGCGAGGTCTATTTGACTGAGAATTTTAATGTAACTGTGGTGCTGTCTCAGTGACTATGGCTTGAACGGAAAGTATTACAAAATCCTCTATGGCAGCCAGAGTGTTAAATTGTTAATGGTACTTTGAAGTAGGTAATTTAAATATGCAGGATAAATACACATCACATTTGAAAGATAATTTTTGATGTTTTTCTATATTGTAACCTTTAGAGCCTCAATTTCTGATAGAATTAAAAATATATATTTAAAAAATGTTAAAATATTTTTTTGGTTTTTAGTCATTGATGAACTTTTTATGAACTCTGAAGCTAATTACTTTTGCACAAAATTCCATTCCTTAAGAACCATCTCTATGACTATAACTTCAATGTCGACATTTTAATATTAAATTAAAGTCTTTAACATCCATAAAAAGATTCTAATTCTGGAACAAAACTAGTGTGCAATATCGTTTTTATATATCTGGAGATATAATCTTATAAAATCAATAATAAAAACATTAGAAATCCTAAGAGTTCCTAATTGGCAGAACTAATTTTAAATTTTTTTCCCTGCGCTTTCTACAGCCTGCAAAGTAGATATATTGATAAATTAGTTGACAAGAGAATCCACAATTTGCATTCCACATGTTGTTTATAATAGCTAAAATTCATAGTGAAGTTAGTTTTTAGTACTCAAAACTGAGTAAAGAAATAATAAAGAAGGGTGGTTTTATATTTAATTTTAATATAGGGCATCTCCATCTGCTTATATGTATTTCAACCTTATTGGGTATTATCAGTGCCATATAAGGTTGAAATACATACATATAAGCAGATGGCAGATGCCCTGCATTAATATTAAATTGAAAATTGTCCTTCTGTTCAATAATAAAACTTAGACTTATCTATATTTTTATAAAATCCAAAAGTGGGTACACTATTTATTGATTTTTGGGTGATAAAAAACAAAACCCACCACATCACCAAAATCAGAGGTCTTACATTTATCAACAAGTGGTTGTTTTAATTAGTAACCCATTTATTGAAGGATCTCTTGAATTAAGTTTTATGATACACATTTGGATGCTCAGCATTTGTACTCTGCTTTCTAAGGGTTGTCTGCAATTGGTTCTCTCTTGTTTATATCCTCTCATACCTGGCGGTCATCTTTTTGCATCCCAGTTGCCCCAAATAAGATTTTTCTATTCCCTCATCTGTTTCATCTTTCACTAGGAAATCATCTTCTTTATATCACTTGCCTCTAAATAAGAGTTTCCTCATCTATCATTTGTTTTCCCTTATAATAGGCTGTTAACCTTCATCACAGTTTATTCCAAAGAAGAATTTTCATGGGATGGTACTTAATCACTATCTGCTATTGTTGCACTATGTGGTTTTGATTCTGGTTTTACTTTGTTTGCTTTTTGCATGGATTTTTTTTTTGGGGGATCCCAGAAAAACCATAACTGGTGGAACCACTGGTAAAAATGTATAAAATCTGACAGTAATTAATATAAATTGATTTAAATGTTAAAAACTTTATTTTAATAAAAAACAATATGAATGAAAAAGAAATATACAGCGTGAATGTAAAGATTTGCATAAATTCAAAATTTTTGTAACTAAAAATATTTTGATGAAATCCTGGGACAGTTTGATTTATATTTTGGATTGCTCATAGGCTCGTATAATTCGAAATACTGATCACATTTAGTTGTGGCACTTTAAGCAGGTAGTTTACAGGCTGTTTGTTTAACCCTTCTCCTTTATCTGGGTTTGGGACCGACACTTGCAGTGACTAAGCTTCCGAATCCACAAAGCATTTACCAGAGGCGGAATTAGGTGCAGTGTAACTCCAACGTAAGTGGATGGGTCTCACTTTATTGCTAACCTATAAACTACACAAGAAAACTCTTTACTCTCAAAGCTTTACCCAACCAATCTTTGTATAAAATCCGTTTACTGTATTTTTTTGGCTTGAATATTTTTTAATTATTTACACTTACATGCCTATAAATATAAAACTTGTGTAGGCATATTGATATCTCTTTTATCAGTATTTTAAATTTCCGTATCAAATAAATTAGGAAGTGAATGAGAAATGAAATTTTTAATTTTTTAAATTCAATATTTTTTTTATGAAAAATTTCACAAATATTGTTCTAAAGCTATTTTCTTGTGGCATTTTAAATTAATTACCATTTAACTGCTTGACTTCTGACTGTAGTTTTTCTTCTGGGACATTGACTGTAATGTTAGTGATTTTCTAAATAGACTTGTATCTATTTTTAATAAAGCATTTCTTCTATTAAACATCAGGCCAAAACATAACAAACCTTGGATTACCAAAGGCATTCGCATATCTGCAAAAAATATGCGTTCTCTGCTATATATTAAAAAATTTAATGACAGTATCCCCATCTCTGATTATATCAACAAGTACAGAAAATGCTATATAAAACTACTCAAAGTAGCCAAAAAATCCTACTTTCATAATCGCTTAACAAGCTCCAAAAATATTTCAAAAGAAACTTGGTCAATAATAAACGATTTTTGAAATAAAACCAGTACAGCGAATCAAACCTTTTCTTTTCCTAACCCCGAAAATCTAAATGATTACTTTGTCAATGTGAGTAAAAATATAACCTCAACTATTTCGCCACAACAAGATCCAGTTTCCTATCTCTCTAATTCAAAAAACATTGCTGATACCTTCTTTTTCAGACCAGTTGATAAGACGGAACTCATTTCAACAATTCGTAGTATAAAAAGCACATCGTCCTGTAGTACAGATGGATTATCTATTAAAATTTTCTCAAATCTACCGCATAAATGTTTTGGAGGTCATGGTCTCGCTAGTAAATGATTCCCTTGAAAAAGGTACATTCCCTAACTGCCTAAAGACTGCCATCGTCATTCCTCTTCATAAAGGTGGAGAAAAATCTGATGCCTGCAACTATAGACCTATTGCCTTGTTACCAGCACTATCAAAAATTAGTGAAAGACTTATAAAAGTTCGACTTATGCCCTTTCTCCTTAAATATAATATTTTATCGCAAAATCAGTTCGGCTTTTTGTCTAATAAATGCACTAGTGATGCCATATTTTCTGTGTTACATGATGTATATCTATCACTAAACAGTAACCTCTCCTCCGCCACCGTTTTCTGCGACTATTCCAAAGCCTTTGACTGCGTAAATCACGACATTCTATTAAAAAAATTAACTTTCTACGGAATTCGGGGTGTGTCTTTGAACTGGTTCAAAACTTACTTGGTAGGTAGGAAACAATTGGTTAGAATAAATGACACCGACTCTAGTTGTAAAGATATTGAGTGTGGAGTACCGCAAGGTTCAGTATTAGGTCCCATTTTTTTTTTACTTTTCATTAATGACATCACTTACTTGAAAATTAAAGGGAAAATTTTTCTATTTGCTGATGATACCAGTATTACTTGGAGCAGCTCTGATATTTCAACGCTTCATTCAATTATAACCGCTGATTTACTTATAATCAAGGCTTGGTTAGACTCCAACTTACTTAGCTTTAACGTGGATAAGACTGTAGCATTATCTTATAAAGGAGTCATTGTAGGATGTAGGTTAAATCTTATTGGAATTTTACGTAATAATACAAAAACAAATCACTTAAACTAAAACTGTATTGAAGTAAAAAATAGCACATTTAAAATATTTGTTAACGATCAATGTAAAAATAGCGTCCTAAGCGTAATGATGTTGTTGCGACTCGAGTTGAGCGTGGACTGTAACTGACTTCTCCTCCGCTACTTGCATCCCCTCTCGAGGGGTGTACTTAACTTGAGGTGTAGTATACGGGGTTGCTCGAAAGTTTTAATATTTAAGTCTAAAGTTTTAACAGTCATGCAACCCTTGCTTTTGAATGAGAGCCAAATCAATATCGTAAATTCCGTGAAATTTCTAGGTATTCTCAATTGACAGTGATCTCAAATGGTCCTTGCATACTGACTCCTTAAGGAAGAAACTAGCCTCAGCTTGCTTTGCAATAAGATCTGTTTCGAAGGAACTAAATTTATCTTCTGCCAAAATGGCATATTTCTCATTGTTCGAGTCCCATCTTCGATATGGGCTTCCATTGTGGGGTTCTAGTACAGCGGCCCAATTTGATACTATTTTTAAGTTGCAAAAAAGAGCAATCCGTTATCTATTTGGTCTCAAACAAACAACTCATTGCAAGACCTACTTCAAAAATCACGGAATTTTGACGCTTCCCTCTTTATTTATTTTGGAAACGGTTTGTTTGATTCGAAAGCATCTAAACATTTTTCCGATAGACCTGACCATGGCTACTCCATTAGAAATTCGGATTGTAACGTTTATTTGCCGATCCCGTCCACTCAGCTAGTAAAGAATTCTATTCTATATCGTGCAAAGAAACTTTATAATCACCTTCCAAGAGAAATTAAATCCGCAACATCCTTCATTAAGTTTCGTAAGGTGACAAAAATAATGTATAACAAAGAAACAAAATTAGTATTGTTTATAATTACATTTGGGTGTCTCAAGCAGTGGCTACAATTTGTCTCATTTGTTGTTGTCTGTACAAATTATGTAGGTTATACAATAATTTTACTAATTTAAAATTGTGTTATTCTGTTTTTTACTATATTTGGTTTTTGTTTTATACTTTTTGTACTATTTGACTGATTTATTTTTTAGCTTTGTCCATAAAATTGTTCAATAATTTTCAGTGACAATAAAGCATATTTCTATTCTATTCTATTAACTGGGAATAAGCCACAATTAAAGGTTAAAATATGTTTATTGATGTGTCAATTTTCACTTCGGAAATCGTTCTCAAAATACAAACAGTAAATTTAAATTTAAACACTATTATTTAAATAAAATAATTTACTGTTTGTATTTTGAGAATGATTTCCGAAGTGGAAATTGAAACGTCAATAAACATATTTTAGCCTTTAATTGTGGCTTATTACCAGTTAAATAGTAATAAACTTCACAAACATCAAAAGATCCAGCAAATTTCAAAACTGATATACATAACTGTGATTATGGTATCTATATTGATGCTAAAAAATGTTGAGGAGTGAAAAAAAGTCATTCAATCTTGCTTTACTTATTCATATTCAATAACAAATCCATAAAACTGAAGGTCCTAAAGTCACTTCCAGTAATTAGCATAGAAGTTTTTTAGCTTTCTTGTTTTCGCTAGTTATATTATTCATCTTGTTGGCCAATGTTTACACTATTTCTTTGCCTATACAAATGTAAAAATATTTGAGCATCATTTTTTGGATATTTTCTTATTTGGCAATTTATTAATTGTATTTTGAATGTGCATGAGGAATTAATGTTCGTAAATACTTTTCTACAGTTACAGATTGGTAATATATCAGCTTTGTCCACTTTTTCAACCAGTTTAGCTAAGGCTAAAATTCGCGAGGGTATATACTTACATTCTTGTATACAATTTTGGTTATTTGTGTAGTGTCGAACCTTTGCACCTTCGTGGTTTTCCACTTCATTGGTAATTTTTATGTATAATGGTTACTGTCATGAATTTCCTTTCTTCATTGTTGTTTGTTAAATGTTTAAATCGATTTTATTATTATTTAGTTTAATGTTTTTTTATCTTATTAAATGCGATGCATGGAATATTTATTTTTCCATATCATAGTCTGCTTTCTCGATTGTGTTGTTGACAAATACATCCTGTTATAAGACTGGTTTCTGGTAGTGTGAGTGTGTTTTCCATTTACCCTGGATAGCGTGTTATTCTAACCCATTAACAGCCTTCTTTATCCAAGGTTAGGGGTACCAACATGACACTACGGGAATTCAATGTACCTGACGATCAAATGGCAAATCAGCATAGTTTTCTTTTTATTAAATAATACAATATAATATAAAATAATAATTTTTGCTATATCCACGCCATATAATATTATTTATTTATTTACAATAAATTTTTATTTTATCTGAAGGTCACGGCAATTGTTGCACAAATGTTTTTTATTGTAGTAATTGATTACAATATGGTGACTCATACATTTTTGTAGTTAGTAGTAAACAGGAATATATTTCGTATAAAGTTAACTTCAAAAATGGTTGTGGAACTAGTATTATTTAGAAGATAAAATGAAATAATGAACGGCGGACCCAAGTACTCCTGGAAGAATATAGGTACAAAGTTAAAAATTCAACAATAAGCTTTATAACAACAAATAGAGATATAATATCAAATCAAATTCTCGAAGTAAGAGTCCTAACGTCACGTCGTCCAATATAGTGGAGATCATAAATTTGTGATGGCATAGTTCCAACCAAATATCCTTCTCCCCAGTCCTAATCTCTTATAGGAATGAGGTGCATGCACTATCAAACTTTTATATTTTGTACAATTCGGCTACATACAACCCTCAGCTAATCAATATTTTTGTTTCATCCACCCAATGACTTCGAGATATCTTCCTGGGTCTTTACATGTGATGCAAATGTTTGCAGTGAAATTTAAAGTTTCTTTCTCATTTTGAAAAGGACTGTCCTGACTATTAATAGCACGCATATTATAGTAGATGATTTGTTGTTGAAAAGTTGACTGGCAAATCTTTGGTTTTTGGAGGGTTGCCTGTTGGAATGTTTTTGACTGGTTGACTAAAATTTTTTTCTTGGAGTAGCCAACGAGTTTTTTCTGGCTTTTCTTGCGGATTACCATTGGGTTTCTGTATCTTCTTCAACTAGGAAGTTTTGGTGATTCGTCACGACGCTTGGCGATTTCGTTATCGGACTCACGATCAGATTCTGAAGGATTAGGAAGATATTGGCACTATAAGGATTTCTTGCAGTGTCCCTAGGAATGACTTATCTGAATATTCTTGTAATATAGTAGGGTTAAGGGAATTCAATCGAGAAGATGGTGTCTTCATCTCGATCGAGTTGTATCGAATGGGATTGGACATAATTTTGTATGTTCCTAAAGAACCGTTCCTGACTTATTGCCTTATCTGATTTGTGCTGCTTTTCCTTTAGGATGCCATCTATAGTATGTCCCTCCTTGACTTTATAGTACACGAACATACAGCAATGCAATCCTTATGAGAGTTTTTATCGCGGCGATGCCAATCGAACATTACCAGTGTCCTAAAAATGTAGGTAGTGCTCTAAAAATGTTAAATTAAAACTCACCCGTTACAGTCAATAGCATTTTAGTAAAACAATATTTTTCATTGTTTTTTGTGTGATAGTCAGAAAGTAATCGGCAGTTTTATAATCGATATGCGTAATACCTTTTTTTAGTAAAGAAGTTAGAATATCCAATATAAAGTTTTATATTATCCTACAGTTGATAATACACAAAATCATGCTTTGGTAGAAGAGAATGGGCAAACTACTATAGTTTATAATAATTGTGCATATAATATTGTTAATAAAGAAATAACAACCTAGGCAAATATATTAAAAATAACAAGAGCCAAAATAAAAAACACTTAAATAGTGGTGTGTACAAACTTCAGTGTGGCGACTGCCTAAAATCTTACATCGGTCAAACTGGTAGAAACTTTAATAAACGAATAGCGGAACATAAAGGGGCTTTCAATAATAGAAAAACAGATTCGACATACGCACTTCACCTTCTAGATCATAATCATTATTTTAATGACAAATTTAAAATTCTTCACATTCAAAATAAAGGCCTTAAGTTATCTTTGTTAGAATCTATGGAAATCAACAAATTAAAAAACACAGATATAATTCTGAATGACCAACTTGAGACAAACAGTTCTCCCCTCCTCAACCTATTTCATTAGAGACTATAAATTGTAAAAGCAAGCCAAAAATAGATCACTTGAGAAAGGCAATTAGCCGAAACAGCTGTAGTGATAAGAGTTAAAATAAATTTTGTGGAAGTTTGAAAACAAAGCAGTGTTTTATTATTAAATAGATTATGTTTCATTAATTGTCTCGTAAAATAGTCGTGTCGAATATCATTGGAGAGAAAATTATTCACAATTTTCGCAATTATTTATTAATTTTCGCAATTATATTATTTTTGCAATTATAATTTTCGCTTATGAAATTTTGACAAAATCACTCGATTGGCGCTTAATTGTCAAAATTTAATTGGCGAATATTTTCATACAAGCCGAAAATATTGCCGGCAAATTTTTTTTCTCTTATGATATATACGAACATATCATGCAAAGGGTCCCAAAAAAGTTAATAACCCATTTTTATATTTTAGGTATGTTCGATAGAAATAATAGAGGCCAGGTCAGTTTCGAAGATTTCGGAGCTCTTTGGAAGTACGTAACAGACTGGCAAAACTGCTTCAGGTCTTTCGATAGGGACAATTCAGGCAACATAGATAAAGAAGAATTGAAAACAGCACTTGTGTCATTCGGTTATAGACTCTCTGATAGTTTAATTAATATTCTTCTTAGGAAGTTTGACAGACATGGTCACGGGACAATACTGTTTGATGATTTTATTCAATGCTGCATTGTATTATATGTAAGTACTTAACTTTATTTTATTATATAAGACTTATTGTTTTTACTTACGTAGTATCTATTTTCGAGTAAGAGTTCAGTATATTCACTTTCAGTTAAAATCCATAATCATCGACATTGTCATTCAATTTTAAGTTCAAATAACATTTCCTAAGTAAACTAAAGATTTTTTAATTGTTTTGTAAATGTTAAAAAGTATCACTGATTAAGGTAAATGTGAGAGTAATTGACACTAATAAATTACACAACTTGAAATACATATAATTTAAAGAAAATAGAAATCTGCTTGTTAATTTTTCACCTACAAAAAAAACCGTGATGTTATAGTTGACATATTGTGTTGCAATAGTTGACATGCTGTATCAACTATTGGTTCGAACAATGGCAGAATAATAATAAAAATACACAAAGGCTAATTACTAACTAAAAAGAACAGATATCTTCTTTGTCTAGATTTGTGTGTCTTCTCGAGTAGTTGGCACACCAACTAGGTTAATTTTAAGGTTAACCTCTAGAAGATTTTCAAAAGGCCGAACACGTTAAATAAAGATTATTAAAATTATTAGAATTTAATACCACTAAAATAAACTAAGTTTATTCATATAAAAAAGTTTACTTACCTATTTATTTTCTACTTGAATTCCTCAAAAATATAGTAGTCTGTGTAACATGCTTTACCCTAAGTGACACAATTTTAAAATGGCTGACACCAATGTTGCCAACCTCACATATAAGTAGACTGGACACAGACTACAACCATCTGGTGACTGGAACTTTGCAACTTACACCAATTTGTTTTGAAATGAAAACGAAACTAATGATGTCAACTACTGTACTGTCAACTATACCCATATTTACCTTATAGTATGCTAAGATCCAAAATGTTTTGAAAAATTTTGTAATCTTTTCGGTTATTTTCATTTTTAAAGTATTATACCACTTACACAAGAACTTTGACACTACTTTGTAAGTTTTTTTTTTCACCTTTATATTCTCTAAATATGTCGTGGTTATAGGTTATCATATTTTTGAAGTATACATACTTACCATGATTTATTTTTTTTTTTTTAGACACTCACATCTTCCTTCCGCCAGTACGATACTGATCAAGATGGCTACATAACAATCCACTACGAGCAGTTCTTAACTATGGTATTCAGTTTAAAAGTTTAATACGCTTTCAATCAGCTTTTTATTCAAAGTTTACGAAAGAGACAATGGTCATTAAACAAACTATGTGTCGCAAATGAACTCAAAATAACTTTTTGTATATACAGACACATTTCCAAATAACTTCTACAATTTAGGATAACTTATTCTTAAACATTTACACCAAACTCTGCCCGGAATTTCAAATATCTGTACTAATATTGTTTTAGAAATATTTCAAGGAATGGCGGAAGTAGATAGTACCCCAGATCATGATCGTCATAGTTAAAAGATCGGTTGGTGATATTTACGTGTCATAGAGAAAGAACAGTATTCAAAAAAAGTACAAAATAATGGCCAAATTTTAACTAACCTCCTGTTTTTACAGATTTTATTATCAGTAAATTTATAGCTCAAATATACTGTAGGGTAAATATTTGCATTGAAAAAAAATTTAAAATAAAAATAGATTAGAGATGTGTTGGACCCGCTGAACAGCACAACACAACAGCGTGAAATACAAAAATACAACAGGACTTTTATTTAATCTAACCTCACTCGCAAAAGGAAAAGTCACTTTGAAGAGACAAAGCGTCCAAACGAGGTTTTCATAATTTGTGAAGAGGACCTTCAAGACACTTTTGATGAATAATTATGCCAGGATTTTAATTTGGAATTTTTTATAATATTAACTCTATTATAATTAAGTATTGCCAAAGCATAATTTTAAACAAATAACCTATGATGTATGTCATAAGTTCGAGGAAAAGCTGTAACATCCGGTCGAAGGACCAATGTGTAAAAGGTTTGCGAATTGCGATCCACTTCGTCCTAGTCCTATTTCCTATTTATGCTCCGAGATATTTAAATTTCTCAACATTGTTTATGAGTTGTTGTTTATTTTCAACTGTTCTTGCATATGGAACTGACTGCCGATTAGCATCAAGTTTGTTTTTGAAATGTTAAACGCTACTCTTCTCCCACTGGCTTCATAGTATTCACTATCTTGAGTAATTGTTTTTTATTGTTTATCTAGTTAATCTTGTAAATGTTTTTAACACGCGAAATCTTTAGATCGCAATCAATTTTGATTCTGTGTTGGTTAAAAATATTCCATCTAGAATATATTAAACACACAATAGCAATTAATCACTAGAAACCTCCCAAATTTAACGGATTGGTAATCTGATTGAACAGATTTGTAAGTAGATTTGCCAATTGTTAAAACAAACCTTCTTTTTTATACATTTTATGTTCAATAAGGGGTTATTATCAGTACATTTGAGGAACCTTGATGAAATATGTTACACTACCAAACCAATTTTACAAATTTTATCTTTCGCATTAAAAAAAATCACCAGAAACCCTCAAATTAAGTGAATTTATAGTCAGATTGGCTAAATAGTATAATTCTTTTGTAAGTCAGTTTTCGTTTTTATATTGTTATGTTCAAAAAATAGATATCATTATTTTTGAGTGCCTTTCTGGACAGGGCCTCTTTAGATATAGCGTATCATCTGACGCAAGTGCGTATTACACGTGATTACAAATGCCAACAATTAAAAATATAATTCTTTTCAAAAAAATGAAGTTTTAGTATTCTTGGTACCTTCTTTACTAGTAAAAAACGTCCTTGAAGATTTGTTGTCGTGAATCAAATCTAACATTAGTGAAATTAGAGAAAATTCGTACAAAAAGACTCACCTATTACACTATTTTAAAGAACCAAAGTCAAATTGAGGTTCCCCTGTGTAATTATATTAATTTTTTGGGGTACTAACTACTTTTCGTTTCTTATTTACTACATATTGCAATGTAAATGGTTCTACCTCAACTGATTACGTCGCTTCTATAAAAAAAAATTGTTAAAAGTGTTACCAAATCGTTCGGTAAAAGGATATCCTTTATAGCTCTAGTATCAGCATCCCAAAAGGCATTTAATGGCTTTTACTAATTGAGTGTATCTTGTTTTTTAATAAAAACTGTAGTGTGGCAGTAATTAATCTATCAACTCTGAAAATTTTGCAAAGTTAGAGACATTTTTCAGATCCATAAATCAAATTTGTGTTAAAATATATGTATCATCATTCTAGTGTCATGTGATACCTTATACGTCGCGAAAGTGTAGCGAAGTGTCCATTGGCATGCTGCAATTTTTATTCCATTGCATTATATTCGTTAAATCCCATCACATGACATTATGATCGGGCCAATAGCAATAGAGATAATAAACAATGCTCTATTTGCATGACGCCGTCTTTGTTCCCCTTCTTTTTCAATGAGATCTCATACATCACGATCCGTGATGTATGAGATCAACCCTCAAATACAAGAGACAAAAATTGGCACAATGTACCTTAGTTTTTTTAGTGCTTCTTCCATAAAAAATACATTATTCGGCTTCATATCTTGCTTTCGGTCTATCATTTGGTCTTGGTCTGTATTTTTCCACAGTTTTTCGTTTCTGACGTGTAGAAGTGAACATGTTTTATAAAAAAAGACAAAACAATGTTTCACAGTGCGATTTACGAAATTCTTCGAATAGTTTTTTCATTTCCAAATGTTCGTATGTGATCCTTATGCTCGGTTGACATGTTTAGAGCCTCTGCTATCTCATTAATTTTGATTCTTTAATCAGCTATGATCATATCATCAACTTTGTTGATCATTTCTGGAGTAATGTTTCTGAGGCATCTTGACTTTATCATCAAACATATAGAAGCCATGCGTTAGATGGGAGATGTGAATACATTTATCGAAGGCTTGACATATCTCGTAATGACATACACCAAAGAAGAATTTATGATTAATAGCTTCATGTAAGACATACATCAAACCTGTATTTGATACACGAAGCGAGGTCAAATGCTCAAGATCACTTATTTCTGTAATGACAGCTAAACATTGTTGATATATTTGTATGCTGTGATGAAAGAAACGTCATTAATTGCATTCTGCAAGACTACGGTGGTTTACAAAATATATGGTGAATGACATAAAACAGCAAATTTCAAAGCTACTATTTTGAATGGACGTGTCCAACATTGCAATGGATGTAGAACATTTTCTCATGCCGAACTTACTGCAAAAGAGTCTTAATTATTTACTGCCACACTTTTGTAACTTTCTGCTTTATTAATCAATTTTTTGTTTATGGTATGGCTGAAGAGACATTTGTGAAATGTCTTTGTAGTTTATTGCTCAAATTATTTGTTTTTAATAAACAACACACGCGGTGGCTTGAATCTCATACAATGCTCAAATCAGAGTGTCTTGTTTTTTTGTAATAATAATGAAATTAAACAGTTTTGATATACATTACAAGACACATACATTAATTACACACAGCAAATCAATATTATTTTGAAAAAAACGTGATGAATTACATAAAATAGGTCAGATCAAAGCCTTCATCTTTAAAAGGGGCGTGTCCAACATCGTTGCCAAACTTCTTGCAAAAGCCGTCTGAAGTATTTACTGTTAGTTTTTAAATGTGTTTTATATCATTTAATCAATTTTTAATATGTCTGAAAGCTATAAAAACGTATATGTTTGATTTGGTAGCACTTTTTTGTTTCTTTATGTGATATATGTTTCATAAATTTGTCATACAGCATTTACACATCTGTGATTAAATGATGCTGTTAGATCTTAAAAAATACGTTGTTACTGTTTGTCACCTAAATTGTATGGTGTTTTCTGTTCCTTAGGTTTAAGTTTACTCTTTAAAATTATATTTTGTCAAAGTTGATATAAAGACATTGATTTTTTTTTTGTATTTTGCATCGTTTTACTGTCTCATATTCTATTACGGTTTATCCCATGCTTGTACTTTGAAATGGAAAGATGTGTACTATCATAAAACTGTCGAAACTCGATTCTTGAATTTCAGAATCTGAATTATGTATATGTATCTTTATAATTTGAAGAACTATTCTGATTTTTTGTAATATTTGATATTGATGTTGACTAGTATGTATAATTTCTATCTTTTATAATATGTATTTTTGGATCTAAGCTTTTAATAATAATATATATGTTCAAGAGAATGACGGTGTTTTTATTTTATCTTCCTCATTGAAAACTTTGCAAAAGACACTAACAATTAAAAAAACTGTTTTGCATAAGAATCAGAGGTGAAATGAGACCCTACTGCAACCTTAGTGATTAATCGGAATGATAGATATCCTCCTCTACATAGGCATAAACGAAACACATGCACTTGTAAGAAAAATAAAAATGATCACTGGCACAGCCACCTTTACTTCCAAGCCATGAAGTAGAAATTTGGCAACAACGCGTGGTAGTCCGACTGCGGTTTGTTTTGTTTAACATTTCATATAGGAACGCTTGTAAAGTTTGTTGAATTTAGTGTTTTTTTAACTTTATTCGAATGTTTTATTTGTAAATTGTGTTTAAATCAATTAGAAAATATTAATATAAGTGAAATTTCATTAAATTTAGAACTTTTAGAAGATTCTTAACGACAATTTAAAAGGCAAGTATAAATATAACCTACAAAACAAACTGAAAATAATAATACTTTTGTTTTTTGTTACAGATGCTCTGGCATTGTTGTGTACCTGGTTGCAAAACCAATTATGCCAGTACTTTAAAAACGAAACAGGCAGAAAGTACGTTTTTGTTTCCCAAAGATCCCCAAAGAAGGTATACTGGGTTATGCTCTATTCATAGAGAAGGCTGTACAATTACCAAATCAATAAAAAAAAACCCTTAAAAGGGCTACATAAAAAAAACAAACGTTTTCGGACTAAACAGTCCATCATCAGGTTTAAAATCGCTAGGTTAAAATGCCTCGGCCACCAAAAATACATGGGTAAAAACCCTTTAAATTACATATAGTTATAAAAGATTATACATCTTGTTGTTAAAAAACTGTGATGTTCAGTATTAAATTAAATATGACTTCAGGTAACATACATTGCAAAAATTGAGTTCCAGAGCCGGGGAGAAAACCTCTACGCACGGAGAACAGCTGGAAACTCAAGTACACACTAGTTTAC